CTTAGAACAGTGATGGTGAACTTTTCAGAGCTTTCAGTGTTAAACAACCAGCTGTGAAATGTGTACCTTAGATTTGCCACCACTGCCCAAGTACTATCAAAAATGATGATAATAGGGGCTGGGGAGAAGGCTCAGTAGAATAAGAGCTTGCCTGGCAAGTGCAAGGGCCTGAGTTCAATCCCCGGTTCTGCCAAAAAAAAAGATAATAAAGTAGCCCTGAAAAGATAGATACTAGCCCAATTTTTTTTATAAAACCTCAAATTTTTATTTTTAATAATAAATTAGTCCTTGAAGAAGATTTTCATTATTAGGGAAAGATAGTTATTCTCACTACACCGATGGGATTTCTGAGGTCTCTGTTAAAGTCATCTCCCTCATGGGCCCATCATTGCCGTAACTGCCTTCCCCAGTTCCATTGGAAGGCTCTGTTCCCCAGCCCACCACCTTACCCAACCCTCCTGGTTTTTAAATTGGTAGGCTTTGGGCAAATACTATATGTTAACCTTTGTTTTCTGGTATAAATGTAAGTTACTACCTATTTTAATAGTTAAGTAGCAATTATACACAGTGTTTCAGTGTTACTTATTATTGATTCTGTGACTGAACTGGGAAGTTGTTTGCATATTTCCATAATCTGGAGACAGCTCTTCTTTTGTTTTTTTTTTTGTGTCAAAGTGAAAGTAGTTTTGGAGAGAAATGTATGTTCTTAATATTTGAGTCTGTTCCTCAAAACCAGAGGTAGGTAGAAATATGTAATACTTTGTGTATAGAATTTCTAAAGTTAAACAGTTTGTAATTTTTCCCCTCTAGGTTGAGACTGAGCTAAAGTTAATCTGTTGTGACATTCTGGATGTACTGGACAAACACCTCATTCCAGCAGCTAACACTGGCGAGTCCAAGGTTTTCTATTATAAAATGTAGGTTCTATAGCAGAAGGTAAAATATGATATGAAAAGTTGGCCTTCTTAGAATGATGACTCTTCTGTGTAGGTTTTCAATTTTTATTTAAGAATATTTTAATGT